TTTCTTTTTATGGGGTGAGCCCCAACATTAGTAACAAAGAACAGAATTTCCAGAGGATGAGCCCAGAAATCAGATTTTAAAGAAAATTCCCAGGTGATTCTAAGTGCAGCCAAGGTTGAGAACCACTGCTCTAGGAGACCCTTCCTCTTATCTCCCGAGGTTAGTTACTGTACAAACATCTTTGAAAAGACAGTTAATAGCAAAGGACAGTTTGTGCCTTTCTTGCAAAGCATGCATAACTGCGAGAGACCTGTGGAGTGTTGTGTCCTAACATCAGTTACTTACACTTTATTTTGTATGTAGTTGCATTTATTTGTTTACACATCTATTTGTATGTATATTTATGGACACATTTTGATATGTATGTGTATGTTTTATTGACTGATTTGAGAGAGAGAGAAAGGGAGAGAGAGAAACATAGATTTGTTGTATTACTTATTTCTGCATTCATTGGTTGCATATATATATATATATATATATATCCTATCTAATAATAGACAAACATGGTAATTAACCGTAACTTCGCTACCCTTCCCATTGGCTAATCAGCGAGATATGCAAATTAACTGCCAACAAAGATGGCGGCCGGCAGCCAGGCAGCTGAAGCGAACAGGAGGCTTGCTTGCTCCAGTGACGGAGGAAGCCACCGTTCCCCACCTGCCTCGCCCTGCTCTAAGCTACACTCTAAGCAACAAAGTTGCAATTATAGAAACTAAACAAGCTCCAGATACCTGCTTTCAGCCAGCATCGGCCTCAGAGCTTAGAGCGGCAGTGATGGCAACAATGTTTCAATTATAGAAGCTAAACAAACCCAGAAACCTGCTTTCAGCCAGCTGCAGCCTCAGCTGGAGCCGGGCCTCAGAGCTGGAGCCGGCTCTCAGCTCCAGTGACAGCTATAGAAGGTAAATAAATCCCAGAATAAAAGGGAAAAAAAAAAGGAGAGGTTGGGAGCTTCAGTCACCTGCCAGCCTGAAAACGGCCCTCAGCCCCTCACCCAGACCTGCCAGGCACCCCAGTGGGGACCCCCACCCTGAAGGGGGTGTGACCAGCTGCAAACAGCCATCAGCCCCTCATTCAGGCTGGCCAGGCACCCAAGCGGGACCCCCACCCTGCTCCCCGCTGGCAAGTGGACATCCCCTGAGGGCTGCCGGGCTGCCAGAGGGATGTCTAATTGCCATTTTAGGCCCAATCCCCCGGGGAGCGGGCCTAAGCCAGCAGGTGGTCATCCCCTGAGGGGTCCCAGACTGCGAGAGGGCACAGGCCGGGCTGAGGGACGCCCCCCGCCCCCCCGAGTGCACAAATTTTTGTGCACTGGGCCTCTAGTATGTG